ACTTTGTCGCAAGCTAACCAGCCTCGCGACTGCCCGTGCAGTTTTTTTTGACTCCTCATCGTGATTTAGTTACGAGAGAAGAAGTCTCTTACGTAGTGTTATGCTGTCCTCGGGCAGTACAAGGTTTGGTGTCGCGAACGGTGCGCTTCTGAAGGGTGACCTCGCGACCAAATCTCGTCAACCCATCCTTGTTGTGTCTGTGTGTGTGTGTGTGTGTGTGTGTGGCTTTTGGTAAGCTACTCTCACAAAAACAGTCTCGAGTACCGGCGGAGGTGGCGGAGGTGTTGAGATGTCATGCTCAACGACTACCCTCTGTACACCGAGAGCGTCTGGGGGAGCCCATCAGCCACCCCAATGACGTAGCCCCTCTCCCCCATGTGACACGCGTAGAAAATAGATCGCAGATAAACGAAAAGCCAAACTTCTTTCCTAGCTCATCCCCCATGTCTCAATCAAGCACAAGACACCAAGAACCTGACTCGAACACAAAAAAACCGCCTCGCACCACACGCTAAGACCCTCTGGCCCCAGGATCCCTTAGTTGCCTCGGCCAAAAGCGGATTGGACCCCCAACATTCCAAGCATGCAAAAGTCCCACCCAACTAGCAAAAACTACACTACCAAGGTAGCAGTAGCTTCGTACGGACGGGCGGCGCGAATGAATATACCAGAACAGGCAACTACTGTGTGATTACCATTGATCATGGCATCTAGGTAGGGCCTGAACACTCGTTCATGGTTGCCCCCTGGGCGCACAAACCTACCACCCCACACCCATGGATTTGATCGACCTCTCCCTCTCTCTTCTTGCACTTTTGCCCTCTTTCTTCCCCGAACAAGTAACTTTTGGGGGCGGGTTTATGCGCAAAAGGGAGAAATGTATAGATACTTAAGCTATGGAATTACTGGTACAATCCCGGGCTGATCCTTGTATTTTGAAAGGGGAGGTTGGTGGGTTAATTAACTAACTTTGTAGATCAAATGGTAGGTTAATTGAAGAAAAGGAAATGCGCTGTCAACTTGCGTGTACGTGTGCGGATATGTGTGTACAGTATGTGTATTACATTACATACGAACTGAGAGATTCCGCAAAAGCAGGGAAAAAATTAAAAAAAAAAAACGCCCGAAGACCGGCCGTCCGCACGTTCTTTGCTTCTCGGGCGGCGGCGGGTGGCGGAACAAACACAGGGGTGGGTGGGGAGGGGGGGGGGACGGAGGAAGAGGAGCTCTGGCTACTTGCTTTCCTGCGGGAGTAACAACCCGGAGCAAAGAGTAACACTCCGCTGCAATCTACAGTTTTTCAGCGAATTACTGCTTTGGGTAGGTCTTGGCACGGATTTGGGCTGCGGCTTTGTCCTAAGCTCGCGCGGACTACGGTGTGTGCGTGGGGTCCGGCGGTCGTCTGACTTTTCGGTTGTGTCTATTGGTGGTGGATTTTTTCCCTTCTTGTCCTTGCTGTAGGAGGGTGTGAGGAAAATTTAGAGGGGGGACTGTGAGGGTGCGGTGGGATATCGCATGGTGCGCTCAAGACATCGGAATCGGTGCACTGAGGTGTAGTAGTACTATAGGGTGCTGACCTCCCAATGCATAGTGGTCAGGACAGCATCTGTGTTTACCGCTCAATAGCTGGATACTTTCAGGAAAGAGAAATTCCGCAGTGTAGTTAGAGCCTATCCATCACTGGTTTGATAAAATCGACGAAATTGGTGAAGACATATTTCGTCTTCTCTAGTGCGCCTTTTTTTCGTCATCACACAAAAAGCAAATAGTCAACCCACGCGATCCATGCTACAAATTACAATCGAAGGATGAATGCCATCTCTATGTGACCCATAGCCCAGATGTTTGTCCCAGGACCCTAAATATCAGTTCGGTGTCTATTTCCTTCTAAACATCCTAGCACCGTCACCAGTCACTGCAAAGAAGCAACAACGCACAAATCGAAACTTCCAAACTAATTCCCGTCTTCAGGCACAAGAAAAGACAGTTTTTTATGCACAAAAATCCAATGCTACGCTATGCTCGCAATGAGAAAAAATAACAACAGAACCAACACATTGCAACGATACGTATACAAGCGAGTGCTAAGCACAAAAGCTCCCAAATCTCAGGCCCTCCCCCTTTCAACGCCCCAGGGTATATGTCTACTACTACTACAATACTGCATGCTTGCATGCTCAACTCCGTCTTTTTTTTTTCCTCTTTCACTCTACTAAGTCTAAAAACTTCTAAAGCTCGATAACTTCCTGCGCCGAAACTTGCAGTGGCTCCGTCGTCGCCGTTGTCGACGATGAACCAAACACTTCCTTAATCTCATCCGCGTCCATGGTGCTGACAAAGGCGCGCTTGACAAATTTGAACCAGTGCTTGGATGGCTTGTGCTTCTTGTGATGTTTGCCTTTTTTGCCCTTCTTGCCCTTTCCTTTCGTTGCATCGTATTCTTCAGTGGTCTCCTCACTGAAGTCATCCTCAATATCATCTAATTCTTCCATTTCAGTTGTCTTTTGCTCATTTGATGCAATCTTGCGTGCGTATTCGACCCATCGGCGTACGGTAAGATCGGGGAATCCCTTGTCTTTCCGTGTATCGTATTCTACTTCAAAAGCAAACTCCTCTGGATGTGGCTCAGGTCGCGGCTGTTTGCCTTGGTTTTTCTTGTGCTTTCCTTCCTTCCACTTGTTGTTCTCAATCTTGCCATTCGAGTCGATACTGAGTCCAAAAATGGTGGCGACCGAAAAGTCATTTGTAGAAGTATTTAGACCACCAGATGGGTTGGAGGGAGGCTCGACAAAATCGTTGTTGATACGCGTCAAGTTTGCGTAGTATTGAACAATGCGTGTCCATGTGAGCGGTTGAGGTGAATAGGCCGGGCCAGGAGGAGCTGACTTTGACGGTCCTTCTGGAACCTTGAACTTGTACTTTCGTGGCCCCTTTTTGTCCTTCTTGCCCTTGTGCTTCTTCTTCTTCGCAGTTTCCACCTCATCCAAGTACTCTTCGTCGTCAAAATCATCGTCGATTGAGATCGGCTGCTGATCGGCAGAGCTCTCGATCCCGGACGGGCTGCTAGGGCTGGAAGACACGCTTAAATGTTCTAATCCGGAGATGTTGTACTCGATAATGCGCAGTGTCGGGAAGTAGTTGGGTACTACGCTGGGGGAAACGTGCGATACTGCGTAGCGTTCGGCGTATTTTCCTCCAATTTCCTCGAGATATTTCTTCTTTTGTTCTTTCTTATCTTTTGACGACTTCAAGACGTTTGGCATGAGCCACGCCAGTAACGATTCTTCCTCGTCATCTTCTTCAATGTCTTGCTTCTTAGATTTGTTCGACTTCGCCGGGGGAGCAGGCAAGCGGGCCCAAACGTTGCGCAGGTCCAGCAGATAATCAGACGCCGACGCTAGCGTGAGCTCGCCATCGACAAACAAACTTGTCTCATTGTCCAGAGAAGCCGTTTTCCATGCAGCCTTCATCCTGCCGTTCTCAGTGTCCTTTTCAATGTGATCAAAATCCTGCACTATGAAGTGATCAATGTTCATGTGTCCGTAGAGACTGCCAACCAGGACATCCCTAAACTGGCGTACAAAAAGCGCATATTTTTGCCAACATGTCTCGTCCCAGCTCTCCTTGCTATCGACACGAGCGGGGGGCACATGACCTAGAAGCATGGCTTTCATGCCGCGCTCTCGCAGGATCTGGAGCTGAATGCGCAGCCATTCCATGTGTTCGTAGCCGGGTTCGTGTTTCTTCGCGCAGCCGTCGACAGCCGAGTTTGACGTGAAGAAGTACCTGAAACTGTTAGAAAGCAATCAGAAAGTGCATTTTCTGTTGTCACATACATGGTGTTCAGGCTGATAGCAGCCAGCTTGCCTGGGATCACCTCGACGGAGAACCATCCACCCTGCTGGAATTGATGTCTTTGCGCCTCGGGTATAAATCCACGCCAAATGTCCAGGTAGTTCATCGTCCAAGAGTTTGGACCACTGGTGAAGATGTTATGAGGCATAATGTCGTTGTTGCCAAAAGTCGGTACAATGGGAATGATAAAATCGTTGGATCCATGACCAGGGCTGGATTTTCCAAAGACCTCTACGAACTTGGAGACCATGAACTTGTTCTGGTCAACAATCTGATTGTGTGTTCGCGGTATCTCCTCGTCATTGTCGTGGCGCGCCGAGTCGCCTGTCCATATGATGAAGTCGATTTCATCCTTGATGTTGTCCTGTATCCATTGGAACGTCTGGTTGACAAGGGCAAAAGGAGAGTCGCAGCCCGTCGTCTCTGCGCCGTAGAAGCCCGCGGGCCCTCGCTTGCGGTGGCATGCTGCGTTGGCTGTGGTGCTGGAATATGTCTTGTAGAAAGGGTCGGGGTGGAAGTCTGCACAATGACGTGAGCTGCTGGCAAACCGCGAGGGGACTTGGTCGACGTACCCGTGATATGGAGGAACCTCCCCGTGAGCCTGCGGGCGCCATTCGCGCGGCTGCTTGCGTCTACTGGGCCTGGATTGCGGCTGCTATCTGCGTCGCCAACCGCGTTAATAGGCGGGGCCGCGGTCGCATGGTGTACCCAGAAGAGCAGGCCGCTGATCAGCGCGTGCTTTGTACACAGCATGACTACGATGACCAGAGAGCGAGAGGAAAACAAGAGACAGCCAGGACGACTTTCTACAAGCGTCTTTAAGAGTGTCGCGCGACTGTATGGCCGCGAGTCTTTCCAGAAACACCGAAGACACCCTGATGGCGCCTGCTGGAGAAACCAAGGCCCAAAGCGAAGCCACGCCTGCGGGCACGATCCTTCGCAAACCCCTGCCATTGGAGCGTCATCGCCCCCAACGCTAGTCACACCCACCCACGCCCGTCACCCACACCCCTCCCCCAGACACGAACAGACATGACGGACGCCGCACATGTCTTGCTCGTGTGACTACCCCAGACAACAGAGAAGAAAAAACCGCTCACCACATCACACCATGCCTCAGACAGCAATGACATGTCGACAGGAATAACGGCCTAGCAGCTTCATTGCCCTCTTGCCCCCACCCAGATGCCTAGTCTACTACGACTACACCACACCGCTCAGGCTGACGTCGGTCTTCGTAGACACCACATTCTCTACTACGGAATAAATGACAAGACCCCATGTGCCACAAATGCCGCAAATGCCCCCCATCACCAGTCCTTGAGCGATTTTCTTTTTGGTATGCGCCGCCCCGCAACAAACAAACACCCTTGGTCACACCCTCACGGGCAATGTCCATGCAATACAGGAACAAGTAGAAGAGAAAGTAGAGGTGGAAGAGCAAGTAGAAAAGTCTCCAACACTGCCCTGCCCGTACCTAGTCATGTCTTGAGTACTTCAACAGAGCCAAACACCTACGCTATGCTGAAAATGTACGTGACGCCCTGTCACCGTAAAAAAGAAAATCCAAAACTCCCATATGATGATGATGATGTTGACGATGATGATGATGATCAATCCTGGCCGTCCTATTCACAACAATCATGTGCCGCCTCTGTGCGGCCAATCTCAAGCCCCATTCTTCTGTCCGTTGGTCGCCGTCGAACTTGCCGCTGGCTTCTCCGAATTCAGCATCTTGAGGTACATGCCCTTAATCGCCGGAACAGTCACTCCGGGCCGAGGCCAGTGGTTGTTGATTGTGTAACTCCTGCTGCTTGTTAGCATGTGCACTGCAACATCGAATCGCTGTACTTACCATAGTCGCTCCTCGAGCTCGGCATTGTCCCGAGTTTCTGCCCGAATAAAATTGCCAATCGCAATCAGCTCAATCTTCAGCACCTTGACCATTGCATCCTTCTGTGGATAGTTCTTCGGTGTCGCCTTCTTGAGCCGGCTGAGATTGTCGCGCACAGGCCGAAGCCGCCGCTCAACGAACTCCTCAGGCTTCTTCTCCTTGACCTTGGGTGTCTCAACGCTGCGGTCAGGCACTTGGCTTTGGCTGTGCGAACGTGGCCGGTCCTCGGATAGACGGGGACGCTGCCTATCCACATCGCCACTAATCTTTCGCCGGTTCTCTGGCGTCCCGTTCCGGTCGGCATGTTGCTGCCGACGGTCGATACTTCCTCGGTCGTTGCGGTGCTCCTTGCGATGGCCATCAGAGGGCCGGTACTGGTCGCTATGCCTAGGGCGATCATCGCGGTTCCTGTCATGATGGCGTCCATCTGTTCGGCTATCGGGACGTCGGATGTCGCTGCTGCTGTGTGCACGATGTGAGGGACGTTCCGAATCACGTGACTGCATGCGACGCATCGCACTACCTGGTCCAGGACTAGCAGCACCGCTCGATGCCTTCTCTGCGCGACGTGCCACGCCAAGATGATGCTTCTTGTTGTTGCGATGATGGTTCTCCATCAACCGCTTGATGTTTGGATCAGAAGTGCTCTTATCCTTGAGAACTGTAAGGAGGTAGTTGGCACGGCGGACCAGGTGTACAGCTCCAGGAGACTTGGCATTCTTGTCTTCGCCCTTGGTCCGCTCCTCCTTCTTGTCGACACGATGCTCCTCTAGATAGAACTTGTCTGTCAATCCCAGTTCTGGATCATCACGGATGGGAATCCACGCTCCGTAACCATGGCGCTGGATACCAATACAGAGCATACCGTCCTCACGCGCACCCCAAGAGCAAGAATAGCTTGCTGGCTTGATGGCGTCTGGCACGCGGAAATTGCGCCAGTCTGGAGTTGCTTCGACCGCTTCCTTGAGAACGCGCATCTCCACAGGCCGCTCAAGAATAGTCTCTGCATTGACCTTCTTCACATCACCATAATCGAAGAGTACGGCCTTCTTATCCTTCTTGGTAAGGGCGCGCTTAGCCTCAATCTCTAGGTTCTTGAGTCTAGTCTGTTCCTCTTTGACAAGCTGTGTACTCTTCTCAATAATCTCATCCAGAGTGGCTTTGACGACGCCCATGTCGCGACCAACCAGTCTAGCTGCGCGCAGAATCTCATCGCCACGCTCCTCAAGCGAGCCATAGCGACAGTACGCTGTGATGAGATTACGTGCCTCCTTGGTGTTGAGCGGCCGCTTCGGATCACGCTTGATGTTCTCGTCTGCGTCGGATTGATCATCGTCATCAACGTCGATCTGAGACGCCTCGAGCGCGCGTTTCTTCGCAGCTCGTTGTTCTCGTGCGCTGGCTGAGGCGGCCTTGCGCTTCCGAGGTGCATTCTCTTCGAGCAGCTTTTGCGTTTCCTCCTCGTCTTTACGCTGCTGAATGTCTGCTTTGACAGCTTCAAGTTCTTCCTTGGGAATAATGTCGTCCCATTCGAGATCGATCTTGACATCAGTGTATTCAAAATTCTTCAAGAACTCTTCACCACCATCAGATGTGAGACCTGCAGCCTGCTCTGTCTTGTGTTCTTCAGCATTCTCCAAAACAGAGTCAATGTCAAGCTCCTCAAGCTTCTTCTGGTTGCCGGACTGTTCAAACATCTTTTGCCCGCGGCGCTTGAGAATGTTGTTGATGTCATCGGCAGAGTTTGGTTCGGCAGCAGCACGGCTCATCTTGTCATTCAGCTCCTTTTGCTGACGATCAGTCACACCACGCTGAATTGTGATGAATTCGAGCATGCGCTTGTTTCGGGCGCGCTCCAAAATCTCCTCTTCAATAGTATCTTTTGAAACGAGACGATAGACGCTCACAGGCTTCTGTTGGCCGATACGATGAGCACGAGCCATGGCTTGCAAGTCAGCCTGAGGATTCCAGTCGGAATCGAAAATGACGACAGTGTCAGCGGTCATCAAGTTGATACCAAGACCACCAGCCCTAGTAGACAACAGGAAGCAATAGTCCTCGCTGCCGGGAGCGTTGAAATGATCGATAGCAATCTTTCGCTCTGCCGCTGGGACTGTTCCATCCAGCCGCTGGAATGCGTAATTGCGCAACTTGAGATAGTCGGTCAGGATATCCAGCATGTGGACCATCTGACTGAAGATGAGCACACGATGACCGTCGGCTTTCAGCTTGCCGAGTAGTCGATCGAGCAACATCATCTTACCACTAGAGGTAATGAGCGCTTTTAGCGTTTCCTCCTTTGAACAACCGCTCTTCACAAGCTTGCTCTCAGCATTAGGGAAGAGCAGAGCGTGATTGCTAGCCTTCTTCAGCTCCATGACGATGTTCAACAGAGACTGCTTGTGGCCAACACCTCCCTCGTTTAGAGCCTCGTAGTTTCGGGTGAGGATGTTCTTGTAGTATTCAAGTTGAATGTCGGATAATTCGACACGGAGAATCTTTTCCGACTTGGGAGGCAAATCATTCTCTACCTTCTCCTTAGTACGACGAATCATATAAGGTTGAATGGCAGAGCTGAGTTCGGCAAGCTTCTGGCTGGCATCTTCCGAAGACAGATCAACATGCTCATCAACAGAGATCTTTCCCGGCATCAGGAAATCCATCAACGCTGCTAGTTCGCCTAGCGTATTTTGGATAGGGGTACCAGTGATCAGCAGTCGACAAGGCGCATTGAATGCCGTTAACCGTTCATAAAGCTGTGACTCACGATTCTTCAATCGGTGAGCCTCATCAACAGCAAGGAATTGCCACTTGATGCTCTGCAAGAACTGCCAGTCTGCAAGAACGTATTCGTACGTGGTCAAGAGAACATTGAACTTGACCTTCTTTGGGTTGTTGTCTACGAGAAGCTCCTTCTCCTTGATGATATTGCGGGCCTCCTCTCTGCCAGTGTAGATGACATAGTTGACGTCGGGGGTCCAGTTGTTGAACGTGTCTGCCCATGCGGGCATAGTAGACAGTGGTACAACACAGATCATTGGTCCATCTTGTCTACGGTCGTGCCTTAGCCAGTTGATGAATGAGACGGTCTGCACTGTTTTTCCAAGACCCATCTCATCGGCTAGGATGACATTGGTGCCTCGACACCAGTTGTGCGCAAGGAAGTTGACACCTTGAAGTTGGAAGGACCTCAGTTGCCCAAACTTGATGTAGTCGGGCTGTGTATCCATCTTGACAAACTTCCTGCGTGTATTGGGATTTGACTCGCGAAGATCGGAGGTAGGCCGATTTGCTGAGCGGTCGAGATAGCGATCGATCTCAGTCTGCGACAGGCGGCTGACAAGCGATGCCGGCTCCCATGTGCAGAACTCATACGTCAGTCCTTTCCCTGCAATACTGTTAGACAGTTTAAATGAAGATTGACACGGATAAGCTTACACTTGACAAAGTACTCTGTCTCATCCTCGCCATCCCGCGTGTCAATGACACGCTCGACGATATGAAAATCAAGCTGGCTCTCACGCTCAGCTTCACGTGCAACCATGTGCTGCTCAAACTCCTCCGGATCTTCGTTCTTGCGGCTGTGATAATACATGTCGTTCTGGACAGGGCCCTTGTAATAGTTGTCCAGTTTGCGGATGCCTTTATAGGCAGATGCTGTCTTGTAGTCTTCCCATGTTGAATGGTAGTGCGCCTTGTCTTGCCATTTGATCTGGTACTAGATTAGTATGGTGGATAGTGATGGCCAGCGAGCGTGTTTACCAAATATTCAAAATCGTGCTTGTCAAAAGATGGATCAATCTCTGTATTTCATTAGCAAGTGCCGACACAAGCCTTGCTTGTTCTCTATTACCTAATCCATCTTTTGGCCGATGATCAAGGATCTTGTCGATGACGGGGCCACTGTCTTCAACAGCGTTCGCCCAGTAGGCCGAGGTCATCTCGTCTTCCTCTTCCGCGAATTCATCTTCATCATCCTCTTCGTTGTAATTCGCCACCTGGGCTGTGCGACGTGCAGAGAATCGGACCTCGGCTTGCGAGGGAGGCTCACGACCTGCAGCAACGGCATGCTGACGTTGGCGTTGCTTCTTGGTCGGGATATTGCGACGGGCTCCAACATAGCCATCTGACTCTGAATCGGAGCCAGTAGAGCGATAGACTGGTGTTGGTTGGTTTGAGGCTAGATGGACATGTTAACCCTGCTTTGGACAGGAGGGGTATTGGTAGACAAACTCTTACGCGAGGCTGTCCTCTGCCGCTTGCGTGGCTGGTCTGAATCGTAATCATCATCATCTTCTTCTTCTTCACTGCTATCGACCTGAGTCATGTCAGTACTGGCTTCTCACATCGACTGAGGCTCACTTACAACGCGACGAGTAGGACGGGCGCGACCCTGGGATGAAGTTAGCTCGCATACAGAGGGAGCTTGGAGTTACGCACGCTGCGACGCAGGCCATAAAGCTCTGGGTTCTGCTCAATGTAATCTTCTTTTTCCACGCTTGCCTTGCGCTTCGTCGGCCTTGTCGACTCCTGGGACGAGCTCCGAGCGCGGTCGCTCTCTGCCTGCTCAG